GAAACGTTAGACGAATAAAGTTCTTGTTACAGCGGTCACGTCTACTCAACTGAGACTCGTATCTACGCTCCTGTCGACAAGCTGAAAATTTGCGTGAGGCAACACATAGGGGATGTGGATAGCTATCTCGCGATCCAGCAGTTAATGAGTTAAATACTACATGCATGCGTCAAAGTCAGACAGTCCACCATTTCAAATTAAATTATTCATTTTTTATACATTTGTACACTGGTTGCAACCTTTTGACGTAGCGATGAGTGCGAATCCAACCTACTACGCAGGCTATGGTAATTTCTGTTGGTGACTACGACATTCGGCTCCGTAACCAAACGCATATATCTTATTGTGAACATGAAAACAGAGAACCATATGAACAAATGTACCGCATGTAGCCAGATACTTTTTTACAATCTAGTTGCCCCTAATGCGTAATTTAGAAGCAGAACAGACAGAAAATAAACAGTTTTTCACAAAATCTTAGTATATATTTGACTGGTCTTTTTGCAAATCGAATCACAGAAAGCGGCCTAGAAGTAATTAAATATGGTGAAGAATATTCGATTATCAAGAGAAAAGTGAGTTCTTTCATTTTCAGCCAAAATTGTGTCATCTATTTTCAGGCAAATTAAAAAAACTGGCCAAAATTATCCACTTTCACCTTGACATTACCTCGGAAAAGGTTACAGGCACAGATATTCGTCAGCTGAATATCTAAGTTAAGTGCTTTTTAAAGAGGCAACGTATTATATACTTTTTTAAGTCAGGCTTCTGTTTTGGACGTTCCTTTTGCTTGATAATGTGTTTTGGTGTTTTTATAAATTTCTTAATATGATCCACATGACCATCTTCGTATGAACTAGCATCCAAAAGGTCACCTTTTGGTAAATACTTTTAAGAAATATCTTATTTTAAAGGTTTTGATATAAACATCGAAAATAATCTGGATTGATGGAAGAGAGCTTGAAAACACCGAAAATAGTTGAAAATTTGCCGGAATTTAAAGGACGAACCGAAACTAATTGTAATCCAATACCTGAAAGAACGTTGACGAAAGAAAAGTTCTTTTGATTTCACCTGACAATTATATATGCATTTATTGATAAAAAACGGCGATTTGTAACGTTTTCAGAATTGGAGGTTTCTTAAAAAATGGTATTTCTAAACAAACAAACAGATTTTGACCCCCCTTTCCTCCCCCCCCATTCCCCCTCTCCTGACAACAGTTCTATTTTTCTACCAACCCGCATACTTCATTTACTTAATTACCATGAAAAACAAACGTATGTTCGGCATTTCATCTTCTGAAACAATTAGTACTTTTTATATTTGTTATCAGTTCCAAATTCACTTCAGATTGTTCATTACTAATTCAGCTTTAATGGTGGTTTGCGAGTGATTATTAATCTCTCGCAAATGCCGACATTTTGCGTGAGTCACAACCCGTAATGTAAGTAAGGAGAAAAAAGTGGCGTACTAGACTGCCACTAGCCTACAATTCCTAACTCTTAAACCGATTCCTTAGTCCTCCCTGAGCCCTCCATGTGAAGCAAAGAAGTAATCAATGTAAGAAGCAGAAACTGGATGATTAAAAGCGCCCTGCCTCTGCGATTGCTCGCCCCCATGTTGGAAGTCGCCTATTGTCGGCCTAGGCTGTGGAGGGCGGAGTATGGGATGAGAGATGTCATTATTTGCGACGGGCAAACTGCCTTATCAGGCGGGGGGAATTCAAGGCATCTGATGATTAACTAACTACTGGATTTACACGTCTCTGTCGCCTTTTGTGCTAGCTCGCTCCAGCTCGTTCGATTCAGCGACAAAGACATGAGCTTGTTCTGGACTATGGCCGGCCACACGAGTCTAGTTGATCAACAAATGCGTCCAACTCCCCTTCTCTTCCTTCTACGCAGCCAGACTGAGCAACGCAGTTCAAAGCAATGATTGGTTATTGTCGCTATCGAGGCAGTCGTCTACTGGAGGCGCTGATTGGTCGGTTCCCCAGATTAAAATTCACGCCCTGCCTATCTCGGCAGATGAACTAGATGACCAGTATGAAAACTTGAGGTAAAAAACTCACTCAGGCCATGGCAAAAGACTCTGCTCCATTGCCTTAAACAAAACACTATTGCACAACTTCTCATCGATTTTCACTTTAACGCTGAAACATACTTACTGGCGACTAGAAGAGACTACTTGAGTAAAGTTCAAGTGCCCATCAGTAAACAACAGAATTCCGAGTAGACTTGTACAAAGCGAAGTGTTAATTTGCATTCTAGAACGGTAGTCTCACACATCTTTGTTGAGGGATATTTCCACCTTTATGGTTTTTGAGCGATTCATGAAGTGTTTTGATGTTAGTCAGTGGCTACCTATCCTTGAGTTAAATGTAGCATTTAAATGGGTGCGAAATACGGTCTAGACTTAGTGAAGACACCTTCGGGGCGAACATGCAACAGGAATCAACGGCAAGTCCTTTACAATTTTCGTACATCCATTTGACACGTGCTAGAAGGGTGCTTACATCGCCTGACTAATTTTGAACAACCTCGTCACCAGTTTTGAAAACCGAAGGACGATTATGGTCGTGACCCAGTCCGTAGGTGTGGACTACCACTTTTGGTAATCTGTCACCTCTTTGCACAGTCAGCTTACGTTCCTGTATGCGCGATAAGAACATGCGTTCACTGTAACCTGTGTAGTCACAAAGGCAGCTGACACACTTAATGGAATGCACTACATCCGACTGCTCGCCGGAATGCAATCATTGATTCTCTGACTGTTCAACTTGATAAGGAAAAGCCAATGATGTACGGAAGGGAACAGGAGAAATCCGGTCGATATAAGTCGCAGCTAGTGCTTGCTTCCCCAGCGCACGCAATCTTAATCTCTCAAAAGGCACTAACAGTCCGTAGTCTGGGAGGTTGCCAACTGACGGGGCAACCCGGTCCGATTCAGGACTACTAGTCAGGGTCCAACGAGGCCCTTATGGCACTTTCCTTTCCATGAAAACAGAGACCCCCTCAATGGGGCTCAGTTTATTTAGGGATGAGGTCTAGTATGTGGTTCGCGTAGACGGGTTACTTATTTTTATCAGTCAAGGCATCTGCGCACGTCTGCAGTCAGTCTGCTTCGATTCTAGAGAGGTTCGCTGTGAACGGTGCCAATGCTAGACCGAATCACCAGCTTCGCTGCAACTGTTGGTCTGAAGCTTAATATAAGCAAGACGAAGTTCCCGGCTACGCACCTTGGCACAGCACAACCATTCTTTATCAGTGGTCAATCCGTCGACGAAGTTAGCTGCTTCCGCTATTTGGGCTGGAATATACTAACCAATGGACAGGCCAAAGAATAAATCAGGGACCGAATCGCGCAGGCTCGAAATGCATTGCCCACATATCAGCTCACGTACTAAGCTGTTGATATACAGAACATCCATCCGACCAGTGTTAGTATATGCTTGCCAGTGAGAAAGGCAGACATTCTATCGCTCGAAGTCTTCGACCGTGGGTGTCTTCGGCGCCTTTTAAGAGTCTCCTGGAGGGATCGAATTTCAGTGTTGACTTATATCGCAGGTGTTTCAAAATTCCAAGTCTGGCATCCTATAGCCAGCATCACCGATTACAATGGTTTGCCATGTCCTGCGCAAGCCATCGACGGACCTCTGCAGATGGGTTTTGAACCCCTCTCGTAGTGAAAAATGGAGATACCGATATGGCGGTCAGCTGAAGACTTGGCTAAACACTGTCAAATAGGACGTCGAGTACATGGGTTTCGTAACCGTTTACGGTTTAAGACAATGGAACAAGCACTGGGTTGATATCTGCGAGGAGCTCCCTTCCGATCGCCGCCAATGAACCACCGCTATTCGTGGCATCCGTGAAGCCGATTCATCCAACAACAGGAGTTAATTGGATCAAGTACAAACACAGGTAGTGGTGGTTGCAAGAATACTGAGAAATTATTCGCAAGTCTGCTTCACTATAACAAAAAAATATCCTGCGCAAGTTGCCACTGCGACTGCGGGAGCATGTAAAACTTCAAATAACCTTGCGAGAGTGAACACACCCGACCGGCAAGCAAGACCAAACTTTTCTCGGCGGTCGGCGATAAAACCTAACTGCACGGATTTACACGAAACAGGAGGGCTTCTAGGTCCAGGTGAACACAACAGTGAGTCACGCGCCGCGTAGACGGTGTCGTCGGCTTTGAACCATAGACCCGCAGTCCTAGTCAACACATGTGCGCGTCGGTCAAGGATGTACA